AAGCTCAGCTGACCATTTAATCTCAGTTCCTCAAATAGGAGCTCCTTAGATTCAATCTTCAAAGCTTTTTTCCATCGGCCTACCTCCACAAATTCTCCCATCTCAGTTCCTCACCCTCTCACCCTCTCAGCAACCCTCTCTTTGCTTCACCCTCTCACCCTCTCACCAGCTCAGACAATGGCCTTCAGCTTGCATGTTTTGAGCAATGTTTTGAAAATCAAAGACAAGAGGGACACGAGTACTTCACACATTTCATCTAATGCTTCTTGCTCGTGCCTACTCTTCTCTGCTTTTGGCACACCATCTGCAGGTGTTATATCTCCAACAATTGCTAGCAAAACCAAGTAAGAATTTTCAATCACCAAAAGTAGGAAAAGTTATTTTAGCAAGGTCTTCTACTTCATCACCTACCATACAAGCAGTTTGGTCCCCTCCTTTGCAGTGTAATGTCAAATTGAACCTTTAATGGCAGCTCTCTTGGGAACCCTAGACCTTCTAGTATAGGGGGTGTGTTTAGAGATGCGAAAGGAAAAATCCTAGCTATATATTCTGGTCCAATAGGTTTGGTGGACTCGCTTAGAGCTGAAGTGTTGGCTCTCCTCTAGGGACTAAGATTGGCCAAGCAATTGAGCTTTCAATAGTTAGAAGTGGAGGGAGATTCAAAATTAGTAATAGGTTGGCTGCAATCAAATAGTTTGGGAACATGGTCCCTTAGACAACCTGTAAGGGAATTATTGAGCCTCACAAGGGAGATAGGTGCACAAGTTTATTGGTCTAGGAGGTCAGCAAATGCTTTAGCTAACAACCTAACAAAGCAAGGGGTGAATCAAGAGGTTTTGTTTTGGGCAGTGTTGTAAGTTATTTTTTTGCTCAGGGGTCACCTTTCACTTTAGAAAGTGGCAGTTGTTCTTCTGGTTTTATCTAATGAAAATTACTGTTTCCTATCAAAAAAAAAGTAAGAAGAAGAGAATCAAAGCCAAAGCCACCCGGGCATTGTGTCTCGGTGACAAAACTGCTTGTTTATTTCACAATGGTTGATAGAATGGTGTGAAGAATCATTCCTGCCTCTCTTCCTCTCTCCCTCCCCATTAAGTAAGAAGCATAAAGAATGAAAAGTCAAATAGAACTTAACCAATCAAAGAACTCCCTTAGAACAACAGGATAACTCAGTGTCTACAAACTTAAAACATAATTCTAGAATATCTAACACTCATAATATGAACAGAATATAAATATCCTCCAAGGCACTAGTTGCAACTAAAATAAGAAAATTAAGAAATTAACCAAAACCAATTTAGATTTTTTTATCAATTAACCTAAACTCAAATTATCTTGATCTAAAAATCTTAGAAGTTACTAAAAAGTAACAATTGATTAGGCACCTTAACTCCACAAATTTTTTTCTTTCTTTACCTTAGGTTAATTTGGTTTTTACATGTTGCCCATAGTTCATCAACCTGAGCTTATATACAGGGAGACTTTGCTTCACCACTCTGCTTGTTTAGTCTCTAATTATTAGGAAAAGAAGTGCATTACTTTTGGATAAGAGAGAGATGGAGTTCAAAAGCACCCAGAGCTTGACATCAAACATGCTTTGGAGTTAAAAATCATTATGTCCAAATTGAAAGAAGGGTCATGCCATGCTTAACGAGGCCATATCATGAGTTGGTAAGAAGATTTACCACTCCCTAATGCACTCCATGCAAAAAGATTCTTTACGGCAATTCGAGCACTGAATATAGCTGCCAGCATTACTTCTTCCGCACCGATGACAATCCTTCCCACCTTTCCTCAAATTCACCACATTTCGCCCATAGGGAACAATCTAAAGCATAAAATCAATGCAAATGAAGAGAAATCAAATAACGAAACCTTTTGCAATAAAGAAAGAGTGACACAATAGTTAATCAAATAAACCTGCAAAGCCCCAATTGGAAGTGGCTCAATGTTCTTTGACCGGAAGCACCTTTGCATAAAAGAACTAGAATCAACCCCCAATTTCCCTTCAAACGATAACACTGCATTGCCAAAATCCCTGACTGGTGCAGGGGAAATTGCCATTACACCATTAGGCAAGTCCCTCATTAACTCCCACTCGCCATTGTTTTCCAAACTACGCTTCTTTCTCTCCATTTGCCTCTGCAAGAAAATTCTTATCAATTCCAACTGCAAGTCACCGTTTTGCAACTTAATCTTCTTGAAACCTTTATTCAATGCCTCTGACACTCCACCTGCCCGCTTTTTCGTCAACAGCTTCGCCAATTTCTCTGCCCTTTTCTTTCGGAGCTCAATATTCCCAAAATCGAACTCTTTCTTTCTGGTTACAAAAACTGCACCTTTTCTCTTGCGCCAGGGTTTCCTCTTGAGCTTCAAGGAGTCTGGAACCTTCTGCTTGAACTGCCGACGACGGGCTTGGAGATAGTGAAGCTCACAGAATTTCTTGTTCTCCATAACTCGCCTCTCACACCTCCATTCCTTACCATCGCTCCTTGTACAACGTAGATAATCTGGTAATTCCTCGTCTTCCTTCATCGACTGTTGCCTGATGAACTGCCGACGACGGGCTTGAAGATAGTGAAACTCGCACAATTTCTTGTTCTCCATGACTCGTCTGAAACACCTCCAGTCCTTACCATCGCTCCTGGTACAACGGAGATAGTCTGGCAATTGTTCGCCTTCCTTCATCGATCGTTTCCTAATGAACTTCCGACGACGGGCTTGGAAGCATTTAAGTTCGCACAATTTCTTGTCCTCAAAGACTCGTCTGGCACACCTCGATTCCTTCTTACCTTCGCTCCTAGTGCAACTGAGATAATCTGGCAATTCCTTGCCCTTCTTTACAGAATGCCGCTTGAACTGCCGACGACGGGCTTGGAGATAGTGGCGTTCACACAGCTTCTTGTTGTCCATGACTCGCCTAACACACCTCCATTGCCGACCATCGCTTCTGGTACAGCGGAGGTAGTCGGGCAAAGCTTCGTCCCCTTCCTCCATGGAATATCGCCGGAAAACCGCTTCAAGCGGCCAATAAACCGCTCGGGAAACCGCGTAGTTTGTCAAGGAAACGGCAAAACTGGAATACAAGACTGCTCTTTTTCAGGCGGAAAGGACAGGAAAGAAGGGGTTATTGGCTTATTTATTGAAAAAAGAGAGACCTTGTAGAGATATAAAGAGTAGGGTGCTTTCAGCGTTTCTAGGAGAGCGAGAGAGTCCATTTCGAGAGAGAAACAGCGAATCCGTTTCCTTCTATCCAAGATTTGCTCCCGTGTCTCCTCTCCTCACTAGGCTCGCTCGGATGGATTATTGGATTTGATTACAACCCCAAACCCAAAGGCCCAAACTCCCGCAGATTTCATTTCAGTAATTACACCCCAAGTGTTTCTCCCTTCTCCCATGCAATTATTAATGTACCCTTTATTCCATAAATACCCCTCTACATACAGCTCTCTTGGTCTCTGACTCTCTGCTCTGCACACGTCCATACTCATACTTCATACTCCCTACTCCATACAATACAGGAGCTAACAAGCCATGCATGGCAGTAAGTAGATTAATTACTTATATGAGTAATGTTGATCAGTAGTGGTTCTGCTTCTATCCTCCACTTCTATAGAGCTAGCTTTAATTTTTCAGTAATGATTTCAGAGCTTCCTTTAGTTATGATTTCTTTTCTCCTTTCTCCTTTCTCTTTGCATGGTTTATTAACATTTCTGATCATGAAGTCTGTCTCATGTTCTTCATGCAATCATGCTGGAAGTGGTAGTCATGTAGCAGGATTAATTGTGTTGGCTACAAACATACACAGTATGGGCAAGGATGATTATGATTCACAGAGAATTAATGGTGTTATATGTAAGAATTGGACTGTTTACAGTGGGATTCCAAATATTAATAATCTGGGGGCAGGCAGGCAAGCTCCTTTAATTTCTTGAGATTTTTGCACATCAACAACTGTCCATTAATCTTGTATGCTTTCTGATGTTCTCTCTCAACTGCAAAATTCTTCTCCTTCTGACTGCTCTTACAATAACAGTTAAAAACACCATATACTGTGGACTCTATCAGATTGTTTGGAGTCAAAGCTAGCTCTAAAGGGTTTGAAGCTCAAAGCCAATTCTGAATCTCTGGTACAACACTGTGGACTCTATCAGATTGTCAGAACCATTTGATGATTCTACAATATATATTAAAGTGAAGCCTTCTTATTGTACAATTGGCACAACATATAATATGCTACATGAATTTCGAAACGAAGAGGAGCAGTCCTCAGCCCTTGTTTGCCATGCATTGATGAGGAAAAACTGATGAGGCCCAAACCCAATTTTCCATAAATTAGGCCCACCAAATATATAAACATGGATATGGTGTAGATGGTATAGGAGATTGTTATGATCATCTATAGATCAAATGGAGTAGTCTTCTCTATTAAACTATTCTGTAATATATATATAATATTTAATTTGTGTTTCTTTGATCATTATCAGTACAAATTACATGACCTGCTGTGAGATTTCTTTGGATCCACAGGGTGATGATCTTTGCATATGCTTTATGCAAGTCTACTACTAAACATATTTCTATACATGAATTTATCAATTGAGTTGCCTTCTTTCTCTTTCTATTTCAAGTTATTTCTACTATATATATATATATATCACTATGTGCTTGTTGACCAATCACCCATCCAGGAATCCCAACTGAAGAGTATACATGCTTGATAGGATCTCATTATTTCGACTTGAATTTTGATCCATCCCATCATTTCAAATTGGTTAAGAAATAGAGGAGCTGATTTCATAGCCAGTAGTACTCTTTACATAACCAGTATTAATATTTTGGCCCCCTTTTTTTTGTTTCTTCCCAGCGATGTTTGTTTCATAGCTAATCAGGAAGTACTGAATCAATTTATGGATGTGAAAGCCTATAAAGGATTGGCCGGGATCGAGCCAAAAACCTCAGAACTTTCTCACTAAAGAGTGTGCCCCACTGCTTTGCACATACTGCTGCACTGCATATATATATATATATATATATAATAATTTCTCAGATATGGACCCTGTACAAACTAGCTCGCATAGTGGCCAGAAGACAAACAGGTTTTGATCTGATATTTTGTCTCTCCTTAATTTGCACATACAAGAACGTGAACTCTGAGTCATTTTTATTTCAGGAATGTGTTGGAGTACTGCGTTGGTCTAGCTCAACCAGCATAGCGCTTCTGAAACAACTACGTATAATGCAGATGTTAAAGAACATCATATGCAGGCGTTTTGTACTACTTAACAATTAGGTCAAGAGTTGTCCAGTCTATATATCTAGCTTTTACTCTTGACTGCATTTGCGATAAGCTTGCATGGGTAATAAGCAGGTTTCATATATAAAAGAATACACATATCCTATGCAAAATAAATCACATATTGAGTTGATATTTTAGGGACCATTAATAAAAAAAAAAAGAGGGAAAGTTAGGTCTGTATCCAACCAATCCCTCTAAAAACCCCATATAGTTAGGATCTAACATTGGGTAATGACTTTTTTCTTTATGGAGAGGATATTTTGGCATTGGTGATTATAATTAATATTTTCTTAAATATAAAAGGCAAATAAAAGAAATTAATATTGACATCTATTGCCACCATTATGACAGCACTTTATTGTGACCACCAAATGAAACATGAACAGACCAGCCATCAAGTCAAAAAAAGCAAATTAACAAGTATTTATGAATTTAAAACAAATTAAAGGGAATGGTGTCTTTATTCTGTTTATGATAATCACAAGAAAATGCAGTTTGAGGCATCTCCCCACACTCTGCTTGCTCCACATAAGGAGTCCTTTATATCAACTCCAAAATAAGCTATCAACCATTGAAGAATGTTTAGGAGATCCTTCAAAACAGTGTTTTATTGTATTTCATATATACTAAGACCATGAAAACTATCCCATACCCTCCCCACCAGTGAAAATTTTGGCTGTCCAAGTTCAGATAGCCTGGGCTATGAATCAACAGGGCTCTCCCAATATGACACGTCAGTTCACATAGATGATAGATCTGGTGTAACAGCATAGGCACCGGATGCATACATGGCTAGCTGGGTGAATTAAGAGCCCAATTGGGAGGGCTGAAACTTTGATTGAGCTGCTTTGGAGAAGCCACTAAAAAAGCTGGAGTAGAATGTCCTATTTCTGGCTGAAAATAGCTTTTTTTTTGCTGGGGGGGGGTCTGTGGTTTTCACCAATCATAGCTTATAAGCTGTCCAAGTGGGCCCCATCTCATAAAGCCAGAAGTTGCTATTAACATATCATGCAGGGAAGCCCTCATCCCCACCTTGGTTGTCAGACAAAATAGATGAAGTTCACCATTAAAGAAGATGTTGATATAATTGATATGCCTTACGGTACTCAGTACTCACCATCCTTCTAGTCTCAACTAACCAGAATTATCTATAGCTCGCAATAGATAAGCTTTGCATCAGTGCTTACATTATATCCTATACCCACATTACTGCTTAATTACATGGCCCTATGCAATCAATTTTTTACATATTTCCAGTTTACAAGAAGTTATTAAGGCTGTGTTTCGATACTTAATTGTTTTGTTGTTTGGTTTTACTTGGAAATAAATCTGAATTAATGCTTCAAAAATATATGGGTGTCATAGACTCCATATAAGAGGATCAACCCTCTTTTCAGAAAATGACTCGATGAAAAATAATTAGAATAAGTATCATTTTCTTGCAACTACCACTGATCACTTTTTGAAACCATGCATGACCCTTTTATATGCAACCAAATATAGGAAAAACACCTTTATGAAAATCAATTATTTCCTTCATTTCACATGCAGCCAAAGTATCATGTTTGATTTGAAAGAAAAGGTAGGAAAAAGAAGAGAAATTTTTCTTTCTGAGGATGCGGAGATCAGTTTCATAAAAGAGACTCTAGTGGATGGTTTCCTCGAGGAGAAGCTCAAAGAATGCACAGGAATCCTATATATACGTTGTTGAGTTTAATGATGTTTCATATGATGAACCAAGAGCCTGTTTGGATGTCATATGTAAAATGAAATGGATGGCTTCATGGTGGTTCTTGTACAGTAATTTTAAAGAGGAAGCTCATCGAAGGAAATGAAACCACAACTGGTTGATATGAAGATGCTCATCACTTCTTGCATGCTGCCTGTAGGAGAGTTGAAACTTTCCTCATCGCAGGAACACCCCCCCCCCCCTCTTCAAAAGGCCTTATCTTTAGCTAGCTTGACATGAGTGGTATGATTTCATTTCAAACCTTCCCCAAATTCTTGAGCTAGCGCCATGTAGGAGAGTTGAAACTTTGAATGAACTGCTTTAACTGAACCACTTGGAAGAAGCAACTAAGTGAAACTTGGGACACCTTTGGGAGGGCTGATCTGAAGATTCAATTGAGCAGGTTCAGCTGCTTTGAAGTTCTCAGGATTAATTATTCAAAGAGGCTGAGGCAGATAGCCTTTCAAATGACTGACTGACAGTAGATTTGGGCTCTCCATATTTAGGCTATCCATGCAAGTCCCACCTCAGAAAGCCAAAAGCTGATTAGCTTCAGCCCTCCCAAATGGGTTTGGGCCTTATAGATTTTTCACTAAACATTGTTTATAAGCTGCCTGAGTGAGGCCCATCTCGCAAAGCCAAAAGCTGCCACTTTAGAGCCTTTTTGGGAAGGCTGAAGCTTTGATTGAGTTGTTTTGACTGAATCACATTAAATAAGTTAGTAAATAGTTAGTGTAACAAGGCCATGTTTGGGAGTGCTTAAGTTAAAAATAAGTGTTTATTGGGATAAACACTTATTTGCATTTGGCATCCAATTTTTTCAAGTGCTTATTTTTAAAATAAGCATTTATTTTATATTGGACGTTTGATATTCTTTTTCTCTAATAAGTATTTGTGACTATTTTGTCCTTAATTTTCTTTCAAATTTTCAAAATATACCCTTTAAAAGCACTTTTATTAAATCACTTTTATAAAAGCACTTTTATGAAAGTACTTTTATGAAAATACTTTTACGAAAGCACTTTTATAAAAATGCTTTTATGACCACTTTTAGAAAAGCACTTTTAAGAAAATACTTTTATGAAAGCACTTTTAAGAAAGTGCTTTCATAAAAGTGCTTTTGTAAAAGTACTTTTATAAAAATGCTTTCATAAAAAGTACTTTCTTTAAAGTGTTTTCGTAAAAATACTTTTATAAAGTGCTTTTCTAAAAGTGTCTTTTATAAAAATGCTTTCATAAAAGTACTTTCATAAAATTCTTCTAGGGATAATTTTATAAGTGGTATTTTAAAGCTCAACTAGAGATCATTTTGGAAGAAAAAAATTGAATAAGTACATATTGTATAAGCACTTAAAAAAAA